TAGTGGATCTAGGAAGCAAGTGAGAGTGCACACCCCCATCACCATCAATGGAGCCACTGTAGAGAGGGTTAGCAGCTTCAAGTTCCTCTGTGTTCACATCACAGAGGATCTGACATGGACCAAACACACAACACAGGTGGTAAAAAAAGGCACAACAGTGCCTCTTCTACCTCAGATTGCTGAGGAGGTTTGGCATGAACCCCCACATCCTCAAAACATTTTACATATGTACTGTGGAGAGCATTCTAACAGCTCCATCACCTCCTGGTAAGGGAACTGCACTGCCATTGAGCAGAAAACTCTGCAGAGGGTGGTGCAGATGGCCCAGTACATCACCGGGGTCCAGCTCCCAAACCTCCTAGTTTTATACACCAGCCGCTGCCTGAGGAAGACCAGGAGGATTCTAAAGGACTTCCACCTGAGCCACTGTCTGTTCTCACAACCGCCGAGCGGAAGGAGGTACAGAAGCATAAAGTCCAGAACCAGCTGGTCCTGAGATAGTTTCTTCCCCCAAGCCATCAGGCTGCTGAACAGCTGTCACTGCACCTCTGAGTCATCATCATGATGATCTCCATGGACAATCTACACCACATTCACACCTCAACAGACTCACTCTGATCTTACTGCACCTTCAATCTAGCAAATCTATACTTACACATATAGATTGACATTTTGTACATCTTCTATCCATATCTTGTATAATCTGGAAGATTTCTGTATCAATATTCTATCCTCTGTGTACCTGCATCTCATTTATTATCTACCTCAGACTCACTGCACATACGGAATGTTTACAACAGCACATTTTATAGTTTTATTTCTTATTACTGTACAACTGTACATTGTAAATAGTGCAATACTAGTGTATATTGTGTATATGTGTATATATTTAGAGTCTGAGTTTATATATTTCTTTTTTCTCCACACACATATACATATATATATATATATATATATATATATAGTATTTAAATTCTACAAGGGGGCTACATACCTAAGATTTTCACTCCTTGCACCTGTGTAAATGTGATGTGACAATAAACGTGATTTGATTTGATTTTAAAAAGACAGTATTCAGATTACAGATTACCACTCTTTCTCCATCCTGAAATATGCATCATCCCTGTAAGTCTAGAATTAGACAACACACAGTGACACCACAGGCCACTGAACACACTTGCAGCTCAAAGAGAGACATAAAATCGCTTTATACTTCATGTAGACTGAGATGCTTTGTGTCTTAACAAGGTTCTCAGGGCCTTTGGAGACAAACACAGTCCAAAACATCAGAGATCCTCCACATTACTTAACAGCAGAGGTGATGTTTTTCTACAGAACCATCCTCCTGTTTCCACCAGCCCCACCTTAAGTGTTTGTTTTTAAAAAGGTGTTTTTTTGTCTCGTCTGACCACAAAACCTATTTCCAGTCAAAGTTCCACTGCTATTGTATGACTGTGTGTCATGAACGTAAAGGGCAGCTGGATTCTGTGGACAAGTCAGAGTCCAGCACATCACCTGTTTATCTGAAGGATCTGACTGCAGAGTTCAGCTACACAGTGAAGTTTAGTTCACGTTTATATCTCACAGTAAATCACACTGTGTTCCAAACCACAGCTACAAGCCTGCACCACCTTCATGAAGACCTGGACTATTCACTCCTAGTGTTTGTTAGCTACATTAGCCTTGTAGCTCCAGTTCTAAGCTAAAGAAGCTGAATTTGGACACCAAACAGGTCTTGGCTGATAGATTACATCTGGGGTGAGTGGACAACTGTGTAAATTTGTTACTTTTTTTAGGAATAATTCCTGTAATTATATTCTGAAAAGTATTAGTTATTAATCAAACATTCATGAAAGTCTATGTTGTTGATTATTGTAATCAGAATATATTTATACTTTCTTTACGTAACTAATGCATAATGTCTCAACAGCTTATGTCACATGACAGATTTTACTGTGCACTCATGCAGTCATGAACAGTGTTGGGGTAGTGACTCAAAAAAAGTAATCCATTACCAATTACTCAGTACTTAACTACAATTGTAATGGGATTACTTTACTCATTACTTTCTGGAAAATGGAATCTCAAACCTCATTACTTTGCTTTTAAGTTACATTCTAAAACCCATACAAAACATTCTGGAATCAAATCTACAAACATATCTGGAAAGTACAAAAATAGTAGACGATCGTTCTTCTTCCTTAGTTTATTTAGAAACAAAATGTAGCAGAAACAGCAACATTAAACATGTATAAAATGAATGTTACATACTTGGTGCTGCTATTTTCTCTGAACAAGTTCTCTATGCAGATGGATCCTGAACTTCCTGATGGGCCGACACGAGGTGTTATTAATCAGAATATATTCCATATGTGTTTAAGCAATAGAAAAATATAGTCCAATAAAAGCTTCTTCAGTGGTCCAACAAAACAAAACCTGTATTTCAAGCATGTGGACAGGAGAGTATAAGAACTGAATTAACCAAATAGCTTGCAAATGTTTTTCGGTCTGATGCTGGTACACTTTTGCCTGAGACTGGTATCTTGTTCAGTATTTGTCTAAATCAGGTGCAGCTCTTTTACTGCCCTGTTGTGGCTCCACAGCAGAATTAGATTTGTAGGTAAAAATAAAATAATCCTCCTTTGCAGTAAAATAAATCTAGTATCTGACACAGTCTAATCACAGATACATTATTCTCTGCTGAAATAACACAGCAGTCGTGGTCATCAGGCTCACCGTGAGTAACTTCACCGAACAGCGTTTATTCACCATTTAAGAGCAGGAATTAAACCACAGTGTTACTGTGAGCGCTGGTGGGCGTTTTACTCTCTCTCATCTTTTCAGCCTGACAGTGGCCTGAAGTGTTGCGCTGTCTTCTTTTGACCAATCAGAGAGCCCGAGCGGACCAAGAGGGGGCGGGACTTCGACTCTCGGCTCCCTCGTTTGGCTGGTGGTGGCTGTGCTGCTCTATTTATTAGTAAACGCTGACTTGTTCATTTACTTTGTTTGTTTGATCTATCAGCTCTTAACTACACTGATGGCTCTGTTACTGTCGTCACTGTCACTGTTCGCTCTTTGTTTACTGGGTGACGTTAATGTCAGTCTGTTCTTAATGTTTTGAGCTGGTTTCCTCTGGGAGAATGAATCTGCGTGTTGTTCACGTGATCAGCTGCTTCACAGCTCTTTAGAATGACATTTTAACTGTTTTACTGTTTTCCTTCTATATTATTTATATATATAATTTAGTTGTCGTTCTATTTTATTTAGGCTGTTCATTAATTTGTGGGATTTCTCTTCATGAATGCTTTTTTCCCGCCTGCTCCTGCGAGCAACACTGAAAATTACTCCCGCGCCACAAGATATCGTGTCGGGTCCTGCGGGAGTGCAGACCTCCACACTGAGGACACAATGCCGCTAAACCCCTGAAGTTCCTATGTGGAGGTCTTCAGTGTCTCTAATAGTCTTGATTATGTGGTTTCTGACTCTGTATGACTCACTGTTACTAGAAACATGGACTAAAGATCATTAGCATGAAGCTAAAAACAGAAGCCTGAATTACTTTCTGAGAATACAGTGATCAGAGGTCAGACTCTGGTAGGGGGCGTGGCTTTCAGGGTTCATTACAGACTGAACTCAAACACACCAGCAGACTCTTAATGCAGTAGATGTTTTAAGAGGAATCAGCCCCGACCTTCTCTGGGTGATCTGGAGTAAACAGAGGACCTGATGTTCTGAGCTTTTAGATCCAATTTCAGGTGTAAATCTGCGAGTTCTGTATGAAACATGAGCCTAAAGAACAAATTTATTAAAGTTTTCTGCACCATAAACAGCACCTACTCTGATTTCTCTCACAGTGGGCTGATAGTGAATACCAGTAAATACTGACTGTGTGCAGTTTCAGACTGCTGTTCCTGAAACTTTGGGTCTATTTACACTCAACAAAGTGTCTTAAGAGCAAGTTTTAAAAATGTACAATATCTCTCAGTTTTCAAATGTACTGAACTCAAACTCATCTGAGATGAGCAGGTGTTCCATATCAGACAGTCCAAATGAATAAATATTTTCCAGAATTTTCTGACTCAAATAATCTTATTTTCTCAAATAATGACTCATTATAAAATAATCATGCACTTCCTTGATGAGTAATAAGATTATTGAGATCTTATTTTTGAAAATCTCAAGAAAAAATTACTAAACATAAGAGTTGTGCTTGTGTTCATTTGTATGGAAGCTGGTAAACTGACCACTTCAAATTTGACCCTAACCACACAGTTTATGAGCTGTGTTACACACAACTGTATAAAACTGTATAAATTAATGAACATTAATCTTAGATTAATGTGATGTGTAGGACATTACAGATTGGACGACATCCTCCTCAGACTCAGTTCAGACAGTCAGACCTTCAGCGCAGCGTCAGCTGAAGACGTCATGATTTCCATATGCGCAATGAGGGGAAACAGGGGGACTGAATTTAATGTAACACCAGTCACCACTGAACCAACACAGTCATGAAAGCTTTATCTTACAATTTCTTTATACAGTGTAGGTTTATATTACTAAAAATACTTTATTACTGACTTTAATAAAATAAAACTTTAAATAAAATAACACTTCTCGGGTGAGATTTCTGTCTGTGAGTGAGTGAGTGTGTTTGTATAATTGTGTGTGTAAATGTATGTTTGTATAATGTGTGTGTGTATAGGTGTGTGTGTGTGTCTGTAAATGTGTTTGATAAATGTGTGTGTAAATGTGTATGTTTGTGTAACATTGAATCTGTATCTCATATATAAACTCATGTCTGTGTTTTTGTTGTTTAGTGAATCTTTTTCTGAATCTCATTTTCGATAAAAGTTTATTTTTATTCTCTTTAATTATTCTGAATAATTTAAACACAGAAAGGTTTGATTTCTCTCATATTTACAGTCTGAGATCAAACTGATAAACAACAAATACATTTTCATCAACCTGACCCCCCCGCCCCCCTGTCTCTCTCTCTCTCTCTCTCTCTCCTTCTCTCTCTCTCTCTCTCTGTGTAGAGGTTATTCTCTCTCACACAGACTCACTGAGGAGTCATAAACCCAGAATCCAGCGTAGAGTGGTTCAGTGAATGTAGTGGTGAGTGTGTGTAGGTGGGTCAGTGTGTGTGTGTTAGGGGAGATTGTGTAGAAGGAGAGAGTGCCGGACCCCCAGTCCAGATACACTCCTACTCTGTTAGAGGGGGAGGGGGGGGAAGGTAGGACAGTTATCTGATTATTGTGATAGACAGAGTAACTGTTACTAGAGCAGTTCAGACTCCAGGAGTGTTTACTGTTCCCAAACACACAGTCAGAACTGCCTCCTTTCCTCCTGATTCCTCTGTATGATACTGATATATAAACAAATCCGCTCCACTGAACCTCCCAGTAACAGCGTCCAGTCAGACTCTCCACACTCAGAACCTGAGGCCAGTGATCAAATCTGTCTGGATGATCTGGATACGACTGAACTTCTCTCACAAACTCCACCTTTCTGTTCCTCTCAGACAGAGAAAGATGACTGCTCACTGTGTTTGGATCCAGAGTGAGAGTAACAGCATCTGTACACACACACACACACACACACACACACACACACATACAGACAGAGAAAATTTAATGTGTGTGTGACTCTGTAAGATACAAGTATGTAAGTGTGTTTGTATGAGATATATATATATACACACACACACACACACACACACACACATACACACACACACACACACACATCTAAATGAGTGTATGTATTTGTGTGTGTGTGTGTGTTACATTTCTTCAGTCCTGGTTTGATCCTGATCTTCCCTCCATGATACACCCTGAAGAACAAATACACACATTTATACATTCAATAAACTTCATATCAAATCAAAACTAAAATAAAATAAAGACTAAAACAGATCATTACAGTATAAAACACCCTTCAGACCTTACAGTCCAGATAAAACTAAACACACTAAATCACAATGCTGGGCTAGTGAAGTCTGAAATCACACTGTTAGGCTACTAGCATTAAATCACACTGCTAGGCTAGTGAGCTCTAAATGTCAATGCTAGGCAAAATTGTGCTAAATCACAGTGCTAAGCTGGTTAGCTCTAAATCACACCCCTAGGCTAGTTAGTGCTAAATGTAGGATGGTTAATGCTAAATCACAATGCTAGGCATTAGCTCTAAATCACACTGCTAGGCTAGTTAGCTCTAATTCACACTGCTAGGATAGTTAGCTCTAATTCACAATGCTAGGGTAGTTAGGGCTAAATCACACTGCTAGGCTAGTTAGCACTAAATCACACTGTAGGATAGTTGGCGCTAAACCACAATGCTAGGCTAGATAGCTCTAAATCACACCTCTAGGCTAGTTAGTGCTAAATCAGTCAGATAGTCCATTGTCCATGAGATGATGGATTCATCCACCTGCATCAGCTGTAGTTTCTCCCCTAACAGCACAGGCTGTATGGTGTTGAATGCACTGGAGAAATCGAAGAACATGATCCTCACAGTGTTGCCTGATGTGTCCAGGTGAGAATACGTTCTGTCCAGCAGGTAGATAACTGCATCATCCACTCCAATGCCATCTTGATATGCAAACTGCAGAGGGTCGAGAGCTGTTCTGACCAGAGGTCTCAGATGAGCATCAGCCTTTCAAGTGTCTTCATTAAGTGGGATGTCAGTGCAACCAGTGGATAATCATTCAGTGCTGTCGGTTGCCTTTTCTTGGAGACAGGAACCACACGAAGTTTTCCACATAACTGGGACTCTCTTCAGGCTGCAGCTCAGATTAAAGATGTGCTGAAGAATTCCACACAGCTGCTCCGTACACAGTTTCAGCACCCTGGGTTCAATGCCATCAGGTCCCGCTGCTCTGCTCTGCTTGAGTTTTTTCAGTTCAATCTTCACCTGATTAGCAGTGAATGTATCATCACTGCACATTCCAGTTGTGGGGGGAGGGTGAGAGGTGTCCATTGCAGACAGTGGTTGCTGATGGTCACAGGTGTAAATGGCTGTGGTTGAGGAGGGTGAGGCTGTGGATGGACCATAGTGTAGTTGTGTAGGAGTGTTAATCTGTGTAGGAGACAGACACAATGGAGCAGGAGAGGAGCCGTTGTCAAACTGCACAAAGAACTGGTTTAACTCATTTGCCCATTCATGCTTTCCCTCTGCTGGAATAGGGCTGTGTTGGTTGAAGCCAGTGACGTCTTCTTTGTACTCCTCTTTAGCCTTCTTAATTGAGGTTCTAAGCTTTTTTTGTTCCCTCTTCAGTTCCTCCCTGTCTCCTGCCATAAATGCTCTTTTCTTCTGGTTCAGCAGAGACTTTAAGTCACTGGTGACCCAGCGTTTGTTGTATGGAAAGAATCAGACAGTCCTGGAAGATACAACAGAGTCCACACAGCAGTTGATGTATTATTGCATTATTGCATCAATATCCTCACCATGTGGTTCACACAGGACATCCCACTGTGTAGCCGCCAGACAGCCTCTCAGTGATTCTACAGGCTCAGGTGACCACTTTCTCACTGTCCTTGTGGTCACTGCCCGTCTCTGAACCAGAGTTTATACCACAAATTGAAGTGAACCCAGTTATGTTCTGAATGACCCAGTTGGGGGAGAGCTTCTTTGACTTCTTTTCCTGCTGTTTCTCTCGACGCTCTGCATCCCTGGTAAGAACGTCTCAGCTCCACTGGAATCACCGGCCGCTGCAATGTAAACAAAGCCGCCAGCTTCCGCACTGCGATCAGCTGATTCCTCATGCAGACAAAGCGAGGGTGCGTGATGCAGTCGTAGTCTGGCTAGTTAACTCTAAATCAAACCACTTGGCTACACAGCTCCAATTCACACTGCTAGGTTAGTTAGTTCTAAATCACACTGCTAGGCTAGTTTGTGCTAAATCACATTGCTAGGTTAGTTAGCTGTAGTTGGTATTTATTTGAACTCAATTCTTTCAAGCTACAGAGAGCAGCCTAGCTTAGCACAACACAAGCTAAGCGAGCACAGCTAGAAATTTTTAGCCATTTTTATTTCACTCATTTTTATACATACATGAACATTTATGCACATTTTAAAATGTTATTTATTTTTACTTTCATTTTTTTTCCCGCAAGGAAAAAACCATACATTTTTTTTAATTCTCATTTTTCATACTTTACAATTATTTTGTAACCCTTTTATTATTTTAAACTCATTGTAGATTAAGGCACTGCTGGGACATCAGACTCAACTCTACACTCAAAACACCTCACTTCGAGGCGGCTTGCAAGGCCTCCCATGTAGCTAGAGCAGCTATCTTACCCAGACCTGCGGAGGGTCATGGGAAACATGGTGCGCTAAGCAACAGGGCCACCGGCGTCTGGGCAACTTCCATGCGGACCAAAGGTCACCTGAACCCGGCCAGACCAGCCAGTTACACCGGGGACTCTCTGGCCCCCCCGCCTGTGGACAGTGGAGTCTGAACTCACCACCAGCAACAGATTCAAAGTACTGAGCTCTCTCTCCTCCTCTGCTCCTCCCTCCACCAACGTTTTAGTAATCGGAGACTCGATCGTGAGGAACGTGAACTCGGCTCCAGCTAAAGGTGAAGCGTCTGTTTTATTCTTCTCTGGTTGGATACTGGTTCTGTCATTGTGCACACAGGAGTGAACAACACGAGATCGAGAGAGCAAAGATTTAAAAGACCATTTTACAGCACTTTTGCGTAGCAAACAGGAACAAACAACAGCCAGAGCTGTAGTTTCTGGCCCTCTGCCAATGTTTAAAAGAGGAAAAGAGATTTTTAGCAGACTCTACGCTAAACGAGTGGCTGAAAAGGTGGACTGAGGACAATAACTTGGGTTTTACTGACAGAACACTTTTTGGGAAAGACCTTCTCTTTATCACAGAGACAGACTCCACCTAAGTCTCCACTGATCTACGTTTTTATCTCTGAAGTATGAGAAAAAAAAAAATCAGTAAAATGTGACGTTAAAATAGAGAAGTAAATAATACAAACAGCTCATTTGGTACTAACAGTTACTTCTCTATTCAAACTGTAGTAAGCAGTCGAAATGCAGTACGAACTACAGGAACTAAAGAAATAAATAATCAAAGTTAGTTGAAGTTTGTAAGTTTGTTGCACCGTAACAGAGTCAGATAGAGATTTTAGAACAGCAGTGCAGAATGTAAGAGCTCTAACTAACAAAACCAGCACTGTCAATCATCTTATTTCTGAACAGAAACTAGACTTTGATATTGAAATCTGGTTTAGTTCAGACGGGACAGTTTCCCTGATTGAAACTGCTCCACTGAATTATGATTTTATCCATACTGTACGGAAGGTAAGAAGGGAGATGGTCTAGCTGTGTTTTTTCCAGTATTTTTAATTGTAAAAACATTTTATTTGGAACAGTTTCTTTACCGTCCATCCATTTAGGCACCTCCTTCTTACCAGAACTGTCTGAACTACTGTCTGTGTAACTAATCATGATTGGATTCTTCTAACGATGATTTTAATTTTCATGGTGATGAAGCTTCAGACAAAAGCCTCCGAATTTATTAAACACATTTGATTTTACTGAGCACAGAACTAGTCCAACACACACTCACCGTCACACTTTAGATTTAGTCTGTCACCAGGTTTATGTAGTAATATACATTAATTCTTAATATCACAATCTCTGATCACTACTGTGAGTTTGTAGTATGTCTGTTTCTGTAGGCATAAAAGATGGAAAAACAAATGAAGAAAAAGTGGTACTTTAACATCAACAGCAGCTGCTTTTAGTAATGCTCTACATTACAAACCTCCTCTACATGTTAACTCAACAGTGCATGACATGGTCAACAATGTTAACTGTAAACTAAGATCTGTTCTAGATAATGTTGCACCAGAAAAGACTAAAAAGAAGTCCTTGACCACAAAAATGCCATGGAAAAATGAACAGATGAAATCAGTAGAAAAAGGATGCAAAGCAAAACAGAAATGGAGGAAAAACTATTCTTAAAAACTGTATTAATATTTATAACAATGAAATATGAACAGAGAGAAATACTACTCAAAACTTATTAATGACAGAAAATTTTATTTTTATTTCAATTATTTTGTTCAATTTTTAATATTTGATCACCTGTTAAATCCTAAATTAACCAATGATTATCTGACTTGGGCTTCAACATCAAAATGTAATGATTCTGCATTATTTTTAATACAAAAATCACCAACCTTGTCACATTGTATTACTCCAAAACTACCAAAAAACTATTTTTATTCAACAGCAAAACACTATGAATAGTTTTAAAAAGATCACAGAGACAGAACTTCAGAAAATTGTCATGCAGTTAAATTCCTCCACCTGTGTTTTAGATCCCGTTCCAACAGCATTTTTAAAGAAGTATTTGACACCCTTTGTTCAGGCATGCTGGACATTGTAAACTGTTCTTTGGAAACTGGCACTTTTTCAAAACAGCAGTTGTAAGGGCACTATTAACAAAACAGAACCTTGATCAATCAGTTCCTAGTAATTACAAACCAACCTTCCATTTTTAAGCAAAGTAATTGAAAAAAATAGTCTCTCACAGCTTAATGAATTCTTAAATGAACACAATATTCATGAAAAATTCCATTCTGGCTTCAGAGCAAATTACAGCACTGAAACTGCTTTAATGAAGGTTGTGAATGATCTGAGAATAAATGCTGATGCTGGTGATGTTTCGGTACTTATGCTTCTGGATTATGTGCTGTATTTGATACTATAGACCACAGAATACTTGTCAATCAGCTTGAAAACTTGGTCTTAATGGAACTTCGTTAAATTGGTTCTCTACATATTTAACTGGTAAACAGTATTTTGTAAACATAGGTGAACATATGTCAGATAAGCATGATATTATCTGTGGTGTACCACAAAGCTCTGTACTAGGTCCACTTCTGTTTTTTTGTATGGGTCAGATTATTAGGAAGCAGGCATTCAATTTTCATAGTCATGCAGATGATACACAGCTGTACACATCTGTGGCTCCAGACAATGTTAGTTCAGTAGATAAGCTCACTATGTCTGTCCAGCAAAGACAGATGAAGAAAAGACAGAAATAATTATAATTGGTTATGGAGCCAAGAGGAAAAAGGTGAATGAAAGATGTGGAAATCTGGATCTACAAATAAAAAGGGGTCTTGGAATCTTGGTGTAACTCTAGACTCTGATTTAACTTTTAAAGCACATATATTACCAAAACTGCATTTTATCATTTAAGGAATGTAGCACGAGTTCGACCTGATCTCTGTCTGCAAGATGCTAAAAATTGATCCATGCTTTTGTGTTTTCTCAATGTGACTAATGTAATGTTTTGTTTTTAGGACTTCCTGCAAGTACAACCAACAAACTACAACTTGTGCAAAACGCAGCAGCACGAATTGCATATGGATGATCCAGAAGAAAATTGGGAGAATATCATGTGGTCAGATGAAACCAAAATAGAACTTTTTGGCAAAAACTCAACTCGTCATGTTTGGAGGAAGAAGAATGCTGAGTTGCATCCCAAGAACACCATACCTACTGTGAAGCATGGGGATGGAAACATCATGCTTTGGGGCTGATTTTCTGCAAAGGGGACAGGACGACTGATCCGTGTTAAGGGAAGAATGAACGGGACCATGTATCGTGAGATTTTAAGCGAAAACCTCTTTCCATCAGTGAGAGCATTGAAGATGGAACATGGCTGGGTCTTCCAGCATGACAATGATCCCAAACACACCGCTCGGGCAATGAAGGAGTGGCTCCGTAAAAAGCATTTCAAGGTCCTGGAGTGGCCTAGCCAGTCTCCAGACCTAAACCCCATAGAAAATTTGTGGAGGGAGTTGAAAGTCCGTGTTGCCCAGCAACAGCCCCAAAACATCACTGCTCTAGAGGAGATCTGCATGGCGGAATGGGCCAAAATACCAGCTACAGTGTGTGCAAACCTGGTGCAGACTTACAGGAAACGTTTGACCTCTGTCATTGCCAACAAAGGTTATGTTACAAAGTATTGAGTTGAACTTTTGTTATTGACCAAATACTTATTTTCCACCATAATTTACAAATAAATTCTTTAAAAAAATCCTACAAAGTGACTTTCTGGATTTTTTTTTCTGATTTTGTCAGTCATAGTTGAAGTGTACCTATGATGAAAATTACAGACCTCTCTCATATTTCTACGTAGGAGAACTTGCACAATCAGTGGCTGACTAAATATTTTTTTGCCCCACTGTACGTAGAACCATTTACAGTACATTGTCTATCAATCTGAAGAATGATTTCACCATGAAAAGAGCTCTTTAATCATGCAAATGGCTCTTTGTGTTCCTAGGTCCATATAGAACCACTGTCTTTACTAAAGGACCCTTGAAGAAACATCTTTTTTTAAAGAGTGAACTATGGGGGATGGGCATATTTGACTAAGCAAATCAGAAACTGCTAATTTAATTGATAACTCTGGGCCAATCAGAAAATGTGAATCAAGTTCTCTCAAACACTATCAAACTGTCCCTCAATCTCTGTCAAACTCTCACATTCTCCATCAACAACACCTGAGAGTTTGATAGCGAGTGTGAGAGGTTAGATTTTGGCCTAAATAGCCTCTCATAAATCTGTAAGAAGTTAAACTCAGTGTGTAAGATGTGTTCAGTCGCAATTCAAAAACAAACACATATACCGTAAAACATTACAGTCAGTAATGTGGATAATTACAGTCAGTCTGTGTACAAAGAAAATAAATCAGTAACTCACTGTATTTTTTCCAGTTTACAGTGTGGATTCTCCAGTAGATCAGACAGCAGCCTCAATCCAGACTTTCCTGGGTGATTATAAGTCAGATCCAGTTCCCTCAGGTGGGAGGGGTTTGATTTCAGAGCTGAAGCCAGAAAAGAACAGCCTTCATCTGTAACCATACAGCCAGACAATCTGCAGAAAGGAGAGAAAAAGAGTGACAGATGGCATTTACATACAGCAAAACCCAGCTGTAGAACAGAATTGGCCTCCAGCCAGTTCATAAACAACTGATGCAGACAATGAGTGAAAGTTGAAGTAAAATCTTATTTTCAATTTTCAAATTAATCTATTTAAAAATTGGTTGCAAACCACACAGATAGCTCTCCTGAAGCCCACCCGCTGGATTCCTGACAGCATTAGCCCCAAGATGGCCAGAAAATGAACTTCCAGTAAAGAGAAACAGAGAAAACAGGCTCCAGCTCTCCACACTGGAAAGCCTTTAAAAGAAAAACCTGCACACCGTTGTGTCTCAGTAGCCAATTAGGTCAAAGCTCCCCCTCTCAATTCCACCTGCAACACACTCACAGCAAAACAAACTTAACAGCCCACAGGGTCATCACACCCTCTCCCTCAAAAAAAAAAGCACTGACATAACCCCACATAAAAATAAACTTTATATACCACCACCCACTAAGATTTGCAAAATCTACATTTTACAATTTATCAATATTAGTCATGTCCCATCCAATACGTTCTTGCACTTCCCTGGCCCTGGGAAGTTTAAAGACAGCAAAAACAGAACAGAACACTAAGTAACAGGTATATAGACTAAGAGACTGGTATCTGTGACAATGTTTTCGCTATCTCATTGTTAGTAACTTTGACAAATATCAAGAAGAAAGGGCTGCAAGAAAAGGCACCAGCTCATCACAAACCTGAGACAAGGAGGAGTGGGCGTTACCAGTAAAGGTGGTGACACATCACACTATGCACACCCTCCAGCCAGGTCATTTCCCAAAATTACTGAAGCCCCATCCACAACGAGCCCAGGGCAAACATGACCTCATGTTTAATGCGGTCTGAAAAATTAGAAACTCTATGCAGTGGAGCCAAATATAGCTAAACTACAAAAAGAGGGATACAAAGGTGATACAAAAGATGTCAAACAAGTGTTTGAAAGCCCCTCACTACCTGAAACTGACAAGAGACAATTACCTAAGTAGACCCTAATCTTCAAACAGTTACTAGTGGCAAGTATTTATGCACTGTAGACCATTAGTGTGGAAAAAAAAGAAAAAAGAAAAAAAAAAAAATTACAGGCCACACTTAGCAAACCATGAACCAAACTGGCACCAAAACCAAACTAATCATATGAGCCCAATACTAACAGGAAATATTTTCAATTTAACCTTACCACACTCACCCCTCCTCAAAAAAACACTGGCAAACCTCAGCAAGTATATTAGCTAGGAGAAGGCACAGTCAAAAACAAAAAAAGTCCCCACATTGTTACAGACCAGCCTCCAGCCAGTTCATAACAAACAGTTGAGGGAGATGATGAGGCTCCAGCTCTTCACATTCGAAAGCCTTTTAAAGAAACCAAACACCTGCGCACAGGTTTGTCTTAGTAGCTAATTCGATCTAAGCTCCACCTCCCAATTTCACCTGCAACACATTCAGGGCAAAACAAACCAAACGGCCTGAAGGATCGTCAGAATATATATCAACACTCTGAAACAGAACAGGATGGAACAAAAACACAAACTGACTCTTCATACAACTAATTACAACATGATAAAACTCTCATTATGATTTAGAGCTCCAGGAGATTTGAATAGCAAGAGATTTAGTGAAGAATAGAAGCAGAAACTCTTTTCCTCCTTGAAGCATCACAGAGTTATTATATAGATAAACAGGCATCCAGGAAATTACATAAACACTATTAAAGTAAACCAAATTTTAATTGGAAGGAAACATTACCTGTGACCTCATCACAAAAATCAATGCCTGAGACATTTAAAACAACATCTAGATGAACTAGAGACACTTTGGAAGCAAGAGCTGTTTGCTGATCAGTGATGAAAAATGGAACTCTTTGGCCACCGATAATGTAATCAAATTAAATATGATTACATTACTTATTACTACCCGAAAAAGTGATCTCACTACATTTTATGTGTATGTTACTCTGTAACCTATTTTTGCTCCTCCCTCTAGTTCAGCCTGTGTCATGACAGCTTTCAAACCCATAGTTCCACGGTTCACATCCACCTTTAGAGTGACTGAATTTCTGTTTTAAGTTTGTTCCTTTCTCTTCTCTAATTTTCTCTGTTAGTTTAATCAGTTCTTGAGTTCAGCTCTGCACTTGAGTTTGTGTTTGTCTACAGTAGGTGACGTGCCTCGTTGTGCGCTGGTCTCTAGTATTAGAGGCCTAAGTTTGATTCTTGCACAGGGTCAGTCAGCCCCACTACAGGAGCTCACTCTGCTGGCCTGAGCACTGAGACATTTAGCTTAAATAAAGTTCAAACCCTGTTCAAATCCAAACACTGTATTTTCATTACTTTCTTTCATATCTTCCTTCTCCTTCTAATTTAATGCCCTATAAACATCCCATCTCTAGATTAGGACACTCATATAAAATGTAATATAAGACAAGGAGAACTTGAAAAACAAACAAACAAAAAAAAATTCAAAACATCATTTAAAAAAGTAACTGTCCCTAAACTTAAATAACTGGAACAACTGTAATCAAGCCCTCAAGTCATTTGTTCCACTCAGCCAAGGCTTTTGAGCATGAGGTGTCACAGCATGTCAATGAGTTTAAGTCATGACTTTGACTAGGCCACTGGATAACTTTTATCTTGTTTGAGCAATCCAAAGACTGACTTACTCTTGTGCTTGGGATTGTTGTCTAGCACCAGTCTCTTTCTAATGGTGGAGTCATGTACATTATCTAAGATGAGTTAGGCCTGCAGTTTCTTAGATGTTTGTCTGGATTCTTTTGTGACTTCCTAGATGAGTTGTCATTTGGAGGAATTGGTAGGCAGACCACTTTATAAGAAGACTGACCACAGTTCAAAGTTTTCTCCATTTGGAGATAATGGCTCTCACTGTAGTTCACTGAGGTCCCAGTGCCTTAGACATGGCTTTGTAACCCTTTTCAGACTGATTTCACATCTGGAATTTCTTTCGATCGTGGTATAGTGTGCTGCTTGTTGAGACATTTTGGCTAACATAACATTGCTGGAGGAGTTATTTATATAGTGGTGTTTAGATTCAACAGGGCTGGGAGTAATCAAGCCTGGGTGTGTCTATTTTAATTGATCCCAAATATCAAGTAAATATCATTAATTGACTAAATGAGTAGCTCAGTGGGCAATTACTTTTTCACATAGAGCCAGTTGGTGTTGGACAACTGTTTCCCCTCAATAATTGAAATCACTTAAAATCAGAGTTTTATGTTTAATCATGTTCCCCTTGTTTTATGTTACTTTTTGTGTGATTATCTAAAACTGTTCAGTGTGACAAATATTCAAAATTGAGGAAATCAGAAAATGCTTTTCCACAGCACTGTACATATGTAAATGTTTGGGTTCTTATTATATTAATAGCCAGTACATATTAAACTAAATGCTTAAACAGAGCTTTGGTGCAACAAGGTAGTGAATTATAGCAAATTGAATGAATGTACTTTAGAGATCGGTCCAGGATCAAACTGTAAAAATGGTGTTACTCATAATTTTGAAAAGAAAGTAGCATGACTGCCTTTTTGAGTGTGCTGAATCTCAAACTGTGAGTTAACAGTTCTTTCTATGTTAGATCCTGTTAGCTTTTTAATAGAAATGTAATAACACCTGTTTTAGGGCAGCCACAATAATGTAAGTTAAAACAAATCATTTTACAGTGAATTGGGGAGCGTATCACCCAAGAGGTTTCTAATAATTTCCTTTTTTTTTTGCTTATTTTGGACAAATATGTTAAAGATTTACTACACAGCTTTATCAGAGAATCTAATGGATTCTTTATATGGTGGTCATTTGTAATTTGTAAATGAGTGAGGTTTATGTTCAATTTCTGATCCTATTAGGTGTCATGCATACATCTGGCTCTGAGGCACACTTGGACTCCATCTCCCAGAATTCTCTGGGAGATCACCTGACTCCTGACCTTCCCTCATGCTCCAATCAGCGCTCTCACTCACTGGAGTACTGAGTCTGTTCACCTGTTTTGTGTGTCATATGATCCTCTTAGTTTAGTTTATAAACTCGGGCTTTAGCAGAGACAATTTGCGAGGTATTGTATCACTTTTGATCTACTGAGTGTTCTGTTGTTGTTTGACTCCTGTTTTTGACCATTGTTGTCTGTATTCTCGACTCTTCCTTTTTGCCTGACCCTTTGGATTGTTTGCCTTTCGTGATATCACTGTTTATGACCTTTTTGCCTGTTTTCTTGACTTTTCATTGTTGACTGACCTTTTTGGATTGTTTGCCTGTTGTTATGTTTGTATTTTGTACTGGTTGTGTTTTCTGGGTTTGACCCATGCTTGTTTTTTGACCACAAAACTGGACTTTGATTCTATCAGTAAAGCCTCCTTTGATCTTTTTAACTGTGAGCATATGACTGTTTCTGGCACCTTACATTTGGATAATTTACCTAATTGTGCTCCAATTACTCTGCTGTTGAGATGCTGTGAACAGACATTATTCACATTGTGAAGCTGTGAGCATTTTAAATGACTGTCATGTGCAACTATTATTAAGTAGAACATGAATGCAGAACAGTGACATGGAGAACACATCACTGAAGCTCTCACAGACCTTCAGCACCTCCACTGATTCTCAACAGTATTAAGATTTGGGTGAGGATTAGTACCAGGGTTAAGTTCATCACCAGGGTGAGGGTTAGTTTTAGGCTTTGGGATGATATTATGGTTGGGTTTAGGCTCAGGTTAAGTTTTATGTAGATTAAGGTGAATTTAAAAGATATTTAATTGAACATAAATTAAATGACAGATAAGCATCTACAAGGCATCTACAGTGGACTCTCCAAATAAAGTGTCAACTAATAATAAAATTAAATTGAACAGTAAAGAACTAACATCATATCAACAGTTGCAGGTGGAGTGGAGATGAATAGAGTTAAAAAGTTTAATCTGGTGGAGTGACATCAGCAAGTGGAGCTTTAGAGTTTTCCAGAATGTATTCCAGTTCACTGGTGCACTGAAACTAAAAGCAGATTTTCTCAGCTCAGTAAAAACTTGAATGTGACAAGTGATCCAGTAACAAGAGCTGAATTTTTTCTGCAATTCCTGAGCAGCTGAAGAAACCCAGTTACATGTAAATCATTTAGTGCCCCCTGTGGCAGCCCCTGAAAAATGGTATTAGGCCATGCCTGTTCATATTTTTGTGATCGAAAATTTTTATTTGCTTTTTATTTTTTCCATCAAAATATTTCAGTACAAAATTATGTACATATCCAGGGCCTGCCCAAAAAAAGACTAACATCAGACTTGGTCTACCTTGATGAGTAGAGAATGTACAGAATAGATGATCCATACATTCCTATCATAGCAGACGACATTGGAGCACAGTATCCTCAAGTATCTCGGCACCCACGAGCCTCCAAACATATGCCACACTCTATACCTCAGAGCTTTCATCCAGAGTTTAAAGCTGAGGCCTGATCATGTTTTATATTACATACATGTAATGAAGCTATGAGTTTATAAGTGGATTATCTTTGGTTCGCTGTTCCAACATTAACCAATTTCTTATTCCTTCCACACCTCAGAACTGTGAAGATAAGCAGTGATAGCAACTGCTGTTCCTTTGAGTCAGTAGATTTCTTCCATCAGTTACAGCATGTCCTTTTGTTTTTGTCCCTCCTGAGGCAAGGACATTGCCACTTTTAATCTTGACCCATTCATCTCCCCTGCTCCACCTTCTCCTCTATCATCCGTAGCCGGGAGTCAGAGAGAGCACAAATGGCCTCTCTCTCTCTGGGTGGGTGGGATGGCTGCTCTTCTCCCCCATCACTCTGCGATGCTAGTCAGCGCAGGCGTCTGTTAGCTGATGTAACAGATCTGGCGGTTGGCGCAGTCACAGGTGATTCACTGATTTATTTTTTTTTTGACAATAAAAGCTTCATTTTATATTATTAACGAACCATAAGCATAAGTTAACCCACACAAATCATGACATTTCTGCTATTTTCGAAGTCCCCAAAGACTTCTATGTTAAAGTTAACCTTGCATTCTCTAAAAAGTAGCGGGTGGTGGTCACATACCTTTCGCCACTATTTTCTTTCGGCATGTTCTGCAGACTGGGTGGTCATCTTCAATAAACTTTCCTTCTGCTTTCTTATAAAACCCAAAATATGACCAAACGTCAGACTTGGTCTTCTTAGAAGGCTGAAATGTCTCTGAATCTCTGTCACTACATTCCAGCATGTTCTCCCTTCTCTTCCTCTCCCTCTCTCCCCCTCCCTCTTCCCCTCTACACAAACACAGAGCTGCATCTGGGAGAATGATTCTGCCTTTGTTTAACTCTGTAAAGCGAGTTTTTCACACCGTGGTAATCGACCGCAGTTTTAACGATACTTTAAAGTTCAAACAGTACTACTAACTTTCATTAATTTTACCGCGGTTTATGATGAAACCAGTAACCGTTTCATCTGTAATATATACATATGTAAATACATTTTATATATATGTAGAGAAAGAGAGAGAGAGAAAGAAAGAGAGATAACATACTACATTTTTGTTTATGTTTATATTATTGTTCAGGTTAGAGTGAAAAACAACAGAATTTCAAAATCCTAATTAATTCTGTTAGTATTTTATGTTTACATTTTATTGTGCCTTATCAGCATATTTCCATTCAAGAATTAATTCACAGAAAGTTCACCTGAGTATCTCCAGTTTACAGTGCAAGTTCTTCAGTCCAGCAGAGAGCAGCTCCACACCTGAATCCTGAAGGTCATTGTTACTCAGGTTTAGCTCTTTCAGAGACGAGTTTACAGATTGTAGAGCTGATGAAAGATTCTCACAGGAATTTGTGGTGAGACCACACCTGTCTATTCTGTAAAAGTCAAAATATAGTACATGGTGTAATCAGAGGAACTGTAATAGAATTACTTTACTCTCTGCATTCTACTTTGTCTTTCAGAAAGAAGTATACGAGATATTCATAGCTTAATTATTCATCTATGTGATCCCATTTACAACAGAAAACATAGCTTATATTTTTTTTCTCTCTAAGCAGAAGTTACCTGTTTAGTGGCACAGAAAGTTAACTGCCACAACAATACAACCAATATATGATATAATTAAACTTAGAACAGATCTTGCATTATACTTAAAAAAAAAAATCAGAATAATTAAAGAGAAAAAGAATATCATGTTTTTCGGTAGCACATTAAATACTGTTTATGTGTTTTAATATTTGAGGGAAGGCTGGAGAAAGAGATTCAGTAGAGGTATAAAACTATGTGAAATGAATATTAAAATTACACGAATCTGTTATTGTAAGGTTACCATTTATTATATCATGTCATTTTCTTATAAAACATTTAATTCACACAAAGTTCACCTGATTATCTCCAGTTTACAGTGTGAATTCTTCAGTCCAGCAGAGAGTAGCTCCACACCAGAGTCCTGAAGGTCATTGTTACTGAGGTCTAGCTCTTTCAGAGATGAGTTTACAGATTGTAGAGCTGATGAAAGATTCTCAAGGGAACTTGTGGTGAGACCACACCTGGCTAGTCTGTAAAACTCAGAATAAATACAGTACACGGTGTAATCAGGGGAATTGTAATAGAATTACTTTACTCTCTGCATTTTACTTTGTCTTTCAGAAAGAGGTATATAAGATATTCATAGCTTGATTACTCATCCATGTGATCCCATTTAAAAACAGAAAACACATCCATTGTTTATTTCTCCCTAAGTAGAAGCTTAGGATTGTTTAGGACCACAAAAAGTTAACTGACACAAAAATGCAACCAATATATGATAAAATTAAACTTAGAAAAGATCTTGCAATATACAGAAAGAAGCATTTCAGAATAAAGAGAAAAAGAATATTGTTTTTTCGGCAGTGTACTATACTTTTAGTGTGTTTTTATATTTCAAGGATAACTAGAGAATGAGATTCAGTAGAAGTTAAAATTTATGTGAAATGAATATTAAAATTGCATATAAATATATTATTGTAAGATTGCAGTTTATAATGGCTTATCTTTTTTTTTAAGTTCACCTGAGTGTCTCCAGTTTACAGTGCGAGTTCTTCAGTCCAGCAGAGAGCAGCTCCATGCCTGAATCCTGAAGGTCATTGTTACTCAGGTCTAGCTCTTTCAGAGATGAGTTTACAGATTGTAGAGCTGATGATAGATTCTCACAGGAATTTGTGGTGAGACTACACCTGGCTAGTCTGTAAAAGTAAGAATATAGTAAACAGTGTAATCAGGGGAAATTTCATAGAATTACCTTGCTCTCCATATTCTACTTTGTCTTTACCTTTAGAAATAAGTGGAAAAGATATTCATAGCTTAATTATTCATCTGTGTGATCCCATTTAAAACAGAAAGCACAGCTACTGTTTTTTTTTCTCTTTAAGTAGAAGCTACCTGTTTACGTGTGGAATGAGTTACAGAATTCAGATGCTCATGGATAAAGAACAAGAAGGAGGCTTTAATGTTTAAATCAGAATCCAAGGTCGTCATTGAGAAACAGGCAAAAAAGTCAAAACACAGTAAGCAGAGATCCAGGGCAAACAATCCAAAGGGCAGAGCAGACACAGAGTCAGAGGAACAAAAAATACGGTCATTCACAGAAGTATACAACAGATATTATGCTCAGACAGACTTACTGGGCACTAGCTGGACCCTACATTACATCTCTTCACTCACATTACTATGCACTGCCACTTGTATTATACATTTAGTCATATTTCATATTGCACTGCTACTTTGTTTATGCATCCATAAATGTCATATTGCATAAGTGTTGACATTTATTGCTACAGTCCATAGTCACTTGTGCATTCATTGGAGGGACAGGCACCACTGCATTGTCAACTGCATAGTATTTATGCAATAACTTTGTATTTTTGTTCTGCACATTACTTTGATTGTTTTAACATATTTGATTTTATTATTTATCTCTACTTTCTATTTATGCATCTGTAAAACGTGTATGACAATACTTGTACATTTTGCACTTGTTTGCTCTTTACTGTGCTTTGTACTGCTGCAATAGAAGAATTTCCCTCTGGGATTAATAAAGTGATCTATCTATCTATCTATCTATCTATCTATCTATCTATCTATCTGTCTATCTGTCTGACTATCTATCTATCTATCTATCTATCTATCTATCTATCGACAGAGCATTTTCCACTCTTTCAGGGACCAGATCAAAACCTTTATACAGGATCATAAATAGAGAAGGAGAGGCTGCTCCCCAGGGAGAAAAACTCTGCTTTGTCAGCTTGGAAGTAAGAAAGTCAGAGTGCTGTTTCACCAGTTAGATCAGGGGTGTTCAATCTTATCCACAAAGGGTGGATGTAGCTGCAGGTTTTCATTGGAAACAAGCAGGAGCTCAGCTGATTCCCCTTAATCAGGAAAAACAAATATCCATGAAAACCTGCAGCCCTGCTCTGCAGATACAATTGGACACCAATAAGTTAACAGAGGTAAAAGCCCTAATTTGATTTTGTTTATTTGTTGACAGGACTATCCTTTGGAATTGGGGCTACAGGAAAAGGTGGCACAGCCTAAAAAAGAAATACAACGTAAGTTCCAAGACAGAGCTGAAGATTAACACTAGATTTGTAGATTAATTGAAAGATTAAGGATTTATCTCTTTTAAAGACTTGACTTTATTCCAAACATAAATACTTTTGTTGTAAACATAGATCATTTAGCTGTTCTGCCCCAGAGCACAGCAGTCTCAGGTTATTACATAATCTCATATGAAATTCACTTTAGTGGTAATGTACGTTCATCACCAGCTATCATGTTAAGCATACTATAACTTCCTCCACACCTGGTAGCTTTATCAGAAACCTCCCACAATTATCAGCTTCTATCAGCTGTCCATCTAATCCTACCCGAATTAGATATTATGACCAAGTGCTTAGAGGATACTTTTCGTTCTACTCTAGATGATGTGGCTCCATGAAAAAGTAAAATAATAAGGCAGAAAAAGCTGCCCTGTGGTATAATGACCACACTCAAGCTTTAAAACAGACTGTCAGACAACTAGAGCGAAAATGGCGTCTGACTAAACTAGAAGTGTTCCAATCCACCTGGAAGGATTATAGCCTTATAGACTATAGAAGAGCACTTACAGCAGCATGCTCAGCCTCTCCTCTCTGATAAAAGACAATAAAAAATAATCTTAGATTATTATTTAGCACAACTTCTAAATTGACTAAGAACCAAACAGCTACTGAACCCCAGATGCCATCAGCCTACAGCAGCAATGATTTTATGAATTTCTTCAGTAATAAAATTGAAAAAAATCAGGCAAAAAATTCAAAACGCACAGTTAAACTCTACAAACCTGCTGCCCTACAAAGCCAATCCAGATCTTGAAAATACTGTAACTACTGCGGAGAGACTGGAATCGTTTAACTTAAACAAACTGAGCTAGTTAAAATGATTGCCTCCTCCAAATCTTCTGTTTGCATATTAGATCCAATTCCTACTAGTTTACTCAAAGGTTAGATTACAATTTAGCATTTATTTTAGGAGCTGAAGTCTCCATCGTCCAGAACTGGGACTAACAACCATCACCAAGGATCACACTGCCAGCTGGTAGGGAGTTCTGTGTGAAGGACCCTGCACTGTTGCAGGAAAAGCATATAAAAACATCCAAATCTTTGCCTGATGATCACAAACAGCCTGCAGCTGCACAGATTCTCCAGAAGCTTTAATTCAAACAAGGCAGCATCTATAGCACAAACTACACATCAGAAAGCTGCATGATTCCCCAGCCTCACAGAACTTTTTACATGCTTTGTAATTCTTCACTTTTTGGATGCTGGGAGAATTCACCTCATTTCATGAGAAAGGGGGCTAAAAAAGTAGAGAAACAGATGGACGACTGTCTGTAACTGTCTGTAACTACAGAGTGAAACTATATGGTCAGTGGAGCTAGTAAAGTGAACAATGAGTGTAGATAGAAGGAGGTGGACCAAATGAAGTAGCTAGATGATTACTGAACCGTATATAGAAGTGGATAAAAGGGTTTACTGTTGTTTTTTTCTGCTCAAAAGTGCTTAGAGGAAAGTTTACCTTTGTAAATTTTAACTGTTCAATAGCATCACGTAGTGCTCGATTATTACATTTCAGTGTCTGACCACTGAACTCCTGTCTATTCTGCTGTTTCAATCAGAGCAAATTCAATTAAAATCACTATAAAAACCAGCAGATCAGGATCCACGGTGGTAAAACGCTGAGGCGAATCTGAGGGCTGAGGTAAGTAAACGTTGGTCGTGTTCAGTGGGCGGAAACAAGCGGTGATGTCATTACTGTTTAACTAGAGCATCTCATTTATCTCTCTTACAAGGTTCAGTGATGGTTAGAATGCTGCCTATTTAAACAGCTGCCTATGTAGACAGCAGCTACTAAGAGAGCTCACTGGGTTTTGGGACACACCCTTAATGTTTAATCTTATCAGCTTCATTGTGTTTTGTAAATATAAGCTCATTCTGAAACTGATACCTGCAGCACATTCCAAAAAAATTAGGACAGGGGCGAATTAACACTATGAACATTGTTAAATATTCTGAAAACATCTTAAATGAGGAGATATAATCATGCTACATATAAAAGGAGCATTCAGGACAGGCCTAGTCCTGTATAAGCAAGGAAGGGTCAAGGTTCAACACGCTGCCCAAAATGCATCAGCAAAATGTATTAAAACAGCATGACTGCATAATCAGAGAGTGACGGTTCTACACTGCCTTATTGAAAATGTGTGGCACATCATGAAGAGCAAAATACAAAAATAAAGGCTCCACATGACTGCACAGCTGAAGACTGGTATAATGGAGGAATGGCAAAAAAATCCACTTTTAAAACTGATCAGTTTTGTGTCTTCAGTCCACATTATAATTATTTTATGCAGGTAAAAGGAAAGGTGATGTAAAAAGTGATAAACTTCAGAAGGTAAAACATCGGGGAAGATAATATTTTTGGGCTGTTTTCAGTTTAACAGCTCAAACAGAATTCACACATCACTGCTTTCTGTGTTATTGGCATTTCACACTCTGTCACAACTTTTTATGGAACTGTGTTTGTAATTTGGACAGGGGTGCCTAGACCTTTGTATAGAACTGTACCTGCACAGAGAGTCCATTACACAACAGTCCAGTTTAAAATAATACAAAGCACTGCTGAAATGAGACATACAAGACTGTCACTTATGGTGTATGAATTCTCTGAGTTCTGTCACAAGATTTTTAAAGCTTGATACAACAGTTTAAAAAAGTTTTGATATTTGAGACTTTTTTCAAAACCATAATATCAAAAAAAAAAAAACATTATTTTCATAACACTGACACTTTCACACCAAGTGTAATTTAACGATAACTAATAAAAGCTGCATACAGACATCAAGGCTTTCAGTGACATGATTACAGTTCAGGTTGTCTTAGCCTTACAGTAAGGATGTTAAGTCTTATCTATAAAGGGCCAGTGTAGCTGTAGGTCTTCAGTCCAACTAAGCAGGATCACCCCTTAACTCAAGCCCAATATGAGAACTGTCCAATAGGAATGTCCCTTATCTCTCCTTTGATTGGACAGTGTTTACTGTGAGTTTAAGTTATCTGGCTAGCTGAGAAATTCTGCTTTGTAAAACAGCAGGGATTGAGCTCCTGCTTGGTGGAAATGAAAAACCTGCAGCGACACAGTCCCTCTGTGGATAAGAGTGGACAGTAATGAGCATCAGAAACAGCAGTTTGACCAACAACAGGACCATATGTAGCAGGACTTTTACTAATGTGCATAAAAATTAATACCACATCACACATGTTTAGTCTTTGCTGTACTTAATTCACCACTTTATCAATGAGCTGTAAGAGACTTTTATTTTGAAAGAGTGGTTGTGTAGGCTGGGCGATTGGAGTCTAAAATAACAAAGCAGCATCAGTCCATCCTTTTTTCTTTTCCACACTGATGTATGAGGTAGATCTGCAGTGTGATTACTATAATTCACAGGTTCCAAATGAGGCTCTGAATCTAAATAATCTTGAAGAATGTGTTAAAATATCAAAAGCTGGATGAACAACAATTTCCTTCTTCTTAATCCTAGTAAAACTGAGGTCCTACTACTCGGACCAATAGCAGAGAGACCTCAACTCTCCAAATCTGAACTAAATTTAGAGGCCATACGGTCATTCCAAGCACAACTGTAAAACATCTA